GGCAAAAAGAGGATAGGTAGCTTTTCTCTACATTTGCTCCTGGTAGCTCAGTTATTATGTTGCCTTCAGGTTTGTTGCACTGAAAATTAGGGATCTTATGTATTCATGACAAAGGCTTTGTAGTCTGGTCTGTGGTTGTTGATTAGTAAAAAAAATTTCAAGTTCAATTACTTTTGCTTGCCCCCAAACTAAAAATGGAACCTGAGAAGTGAGGTTTTGTTAGTGGAGTTAGTAAAGTAACTTTCTCTTGTGGCTTCATGTGCATGTGTTGATACATGGCTATCTAGAAACAGTTGTCTGTGTGCTGTGCATACATATGTCATTATCAGTGAAGGTGTAAGAAAGCAGTTTGTTTGCTGTAGGGATGTTCTTGGGGGTTTGTGATAGCTAAAGTAGAGTGCATTTTCTTGATAGTCTGATGGAAAAGGAGTAGCTGTATGTAACTGGATTGAGAGAAAGGAGAAAACTAATACACTTCTCTTTTCAGTTGATTTCGTGATCTGATTTGACTGTGGGGAATGAAGATTCCTGGTTTTATGTTCCTATGGATTTGAAGATCTGATAGGCACCAGCAAAAGGAATGTGTGTTACCCTTGGTGGTATTTAGTCAGAGCTGATTCTGCTGATCTAATGTTGAGTGTTAATGTAAATTGCTTTGTGTGTCTTTTTTAATTTGGGGGTTTTTTTTGCTTGTTTGGTTTTTTTTGGGGGGGGGGAAACAAAGCTGCATTTGATGCAGTTTTTAGTTGAACATACTTAAGCTTTGTGCATGGCAATAAATGTTCCCTTTTTATAGTTTTTGTACATTTTGAATTGCTTTGTATAACTAGATTCATTAGAAACATCATAGCTTTTCAGTGTGGATTACTAGCTCGCAGGAGATTTTAAAATTTAGTAAAATGAAAGCTGCTTATCTACACATATACATGCAGAGACTGGAATATTGCAGTATTGGTTATAAAGATATTTTGAATACATATCCATTCTGAAAATAACAAGAGTTATTCACATGTTAATCTTTTATATTCTGATAAATTCTACAGATGCAGAGTTATTCTGAATCTAGATTATTGTCTTGCATGTGTAGGCACTGAGAACTGTCAAAGCATGGTAACTAATTGGCATAAAGATGATATTTTTGTACTTTCAGAAGGCTTTCTGTTGTGTATATAAAGCTATTTCAGATTTCTTTTGTGCAAATCAGTTTTTTGATCTTGTTATCTTAGAATTTATGACGTGAAATGTCAGTGTTCAGCAGTGAGGCTATAATGAAAAGTGGTATGCAGAAGTTTCATGAAGCTACAAACAAGTTGAGGTTTTATGATGTTTGTCCTATCTTGCCTTGTGCAGAAACTAAGCTGTAGTTTATACTTAAGCTTTTCAGCTTATAACTTTGTGTAAAAGACTACAGATACATTTGTTTCAATAGCTTGAAAAAGTAAATGAACCCCTCCACAGGCTGTAGGAAAATTTGTAAAGGGTCTGCAAAAGAATCTTTAGTGTCTTGACTTGATGGCCCAGCATGTTGGAAGTGGGTTTCCAAGATGTACAGCTGGGAGGCTCAATAGTTTTGGAAATCCACAGTGGGGTTTTTGTACTGGATAGCACTGATGCGTGTGGTTAAGTTCTCTTCTGTATGTGAAAGCTCTTCTAAACCTGAGCCTTGGTGCTTTGACATAGACAATGGTACTTTTAAGCCTGCGGTCTTGAACTTTGACTCACGCTTTTCAGATCAAAGTGAACTCTGCATAAGTTTTTGTTATTTAGGTTTTTGTTCTCCATATACCTTGGGAAATCCTACACTTAGCAATTATGAAACTAATAATTGCCAAAGTGTGGGCTGCCATTAATGCCATGAGCACAGAATCTCTCTGACTGTAGTATTGCTGAAAGACAAAGCATATTTTTTGAATTTTATTGTACAGTTGGGAAATATGGGTTCATAAAGAATTTAAATTCTGAAAATGTTCAGCCAGTTAGACTATTATTCTTAACATACTTTTTTAATTTCTTTGCGTGTAATGGTTTATAATAAGGCTGAATGTAATGGGGGGGTTTTGTATTCAATAAATAGCTTTCACAAAAATGTAAATCAATTTCGATGATCTAATACTTGCTTAAATGTATAGTAAAAGAAAAAAAATCTGTACAGAAACAAGGTTGTCTTTATCTCATCTTGTAGAAACTAGTCAAGCCTTTTTCATCAGGCTTTTCTGTTTTAAAGAGACTATTGCTGAAATGTATGTCCTTGCATCAGTGTACAATTTTATATGTTCTGTAAGGTTGGTTTGTTTTTATTTGTTTGGCTTTTTCTTTCTTTCCTAGAACTGCCTTAGCGTAAAGACCACTTTTTCATTTACAAATAAAAGCAACAAAAGTTTCCAAGTCCTACTTAAAAGCAAGAAGTTATTTCAAATTTTCTTGGGGTTTGGGATGGATTTTCTACAAACACTTGAACTGCTTTGTTATTTTTAGGTAAATATACCAGTTAGTTTCAGTTATATGGGTCAGGAGGTGTATTTGAGTGACTCAGAAGTATAAAAATTCTAACAAAAAATTACAAAAAGTTAGTGTACTTCTGTTCATTGTATATACACATTTCTTGCCACTTTGGAATTGTGCAGATGGAATGGAAATGAACTTGGCATCCTTCAAATACTTTGTTTCAATCCTGTAGCTATAACTCAGTGTAGTCATCAACAGAGAAATGTCTGAGTTGTTTTGCTGCTTACCCATACCAGTCTTGCTGCAGCTGAGACAATATTCCAGTTCTTTCTGCAAGTGGGGGAAAGACTGCAGCACAATACTAAAAGGTAAATAAAATGTCTTTCTTATCCTCATGCTGTTGGATTAAAAACAGCTGATAAGAGCTCTAAATCCTGTACAGAGATGCTCATAAAAAAATAGGAACTGGGTAACTAAAGAAAAGGTAACTAATTAAAGTGTTCAGGCATATACCTTCCAGGTGCTTCAGATTATGTCCTGACTGTTGTATTATAGAAAAAGTCCTAACATTTTTATTCTTACAGTGTAATTCCTGCAGTCCAGTGTATTTGTTCCTCTGTTTAGTTCAGTTTTTGCTATTCAGTATTTTGGTTAGTGACCTGGAAAACCACCCAAGTTAACCTGAGTGACTTGTTTGTATCAACAACTGTTCTTAAGACTGAGCCTGGCATCTGAGATAGCAATGGATAGGCCCTGTAGAAGAAGGGTGGAGAGGGCTAGGAGGGGAAAAGGGAGAATAGAAATTTTGAGTGAAGAGGTTACATGTCTGTAGGAAAAGAGCTGAGTTGGAGTTACGTGGTAACCCATGGTACACTGCTCAGTCATATCTAACAGGGGTGAAATTAGGAAGATGCGGCTTTATGCACCATCCTACTTTTTTTCTGGAAGCTCTTAGACTAATAGCCTTCTTGGGCCTAGCAGGCTGCTTGTAGCATCTGTGTTCCTACTGCATTATCATGTTACAAGGCATATGACAGAAAGATATATGAATGTCTGGGTTTAGATTAGCCACTACTAAGATGGACTTTAAAATAACCTTTTTGGAGGCCAGTGCTTAATCTGGCTAAATGATGCCCCTGGCAGTCAGCATGGTGATTTCCGATAAGGTGTATTAGCTCTGCTGTTGTTTCAGAGAGACACTGACTCATAACCACTTGGGTAGATCTAATTATTCCTGTTTCCAAATCACAAAGTTGACTATAGTCTGCAACTACCAAATAAGAGAGCATGGGGAAGGCATGGCCAGGCTGTGCTTGGAGATGCACAGTGAGAGGATGGGAGGCACCAGATGGGGCAGAAAAGCTTCACTGTGTTGTTCCTGACACGAAGATGGGACCTGGGGCAGTTGTAGAATCCCTGTTATTGGAGATGTTCAGGACTCAACCTGACAGGGCCCTGAGCAACCAGTTCCACTTGGACATGTTCCAAGTAGTGGCTTAAACCAAGTGATCTCCAGAAGTCCTGGGGTAAGAGGATGACAATATTATGTAACTTGCCCTACCTTTTCACCTGACCTTGTTCACTGGATTGCACCCCTTTGTAGACTCACCACTTTTATTTCCAATTTAGGTTTTAGACAGGTGGGTTAAAAGGAAAGAAATTCCTTCATATCAACTGTTTTCTGGGAGGACTGGCACTCCTAGGAGGAGTGTGATGAAATCTACCGATTTGCACTTAATTTTAAAAGCAGCATTAGTATTTTGTTTCCATTTCAAAAATTGTTATTGAATGAAGTTAATGTTTTCAAGACCAGTGTCAAGCGTAACGATAATTTTCCTGCCAGGAGATACTAGAAGAACAAAGTGCATTTTTGGGATACAAACTTTAAACTGCTAATAAGTATGACAGGTTTAGGGGAAGGTGTGGAAGAATCTTCCACACCATAGTGCTTTCACTGGTTCAGACCTACATGTGTAACTAGTTGAAACAAACTTTCAAAGGAAGTACCAGTTTGGGGTGGGGTTTTTTGTTGTCTGCAGTCAGACTTAAGCTAAACAAATACGTAACCTCCCCTTCAAGAAGAACAGTGTAGATAAGTGTTATCAGAATTTGTTGCTGTAGTGAGGCTTGCAAATGCTTACAGTGATCTGTGACTATTAGGAATCTTTCAGGACCACAGTCCTACAAAAGTGTTCATTCTACATTTATTCAGTGAAAAGCATTAAGTGGTTTGCAGGTGATTTTCCTGGCTATTTGAAAATTATGGGCAGTGCTTCTAAACAACTGTTAGCTAAAATTCCTCTGGCTAAGGAAAATAATCTGATAGAAGCTTATAAATTTGGTAAAACTTTGAGGGAAAATACACTATTACAATATTGTCCAAATAATATCAAACCTAGACCTCAGTGAAGGCTGTAGAGCAGCACTTTTGAGGAACTGGCTAGCTATAGGAATATCTAAAATGAAATTGTAATATCAAATATAATAAAGTAGATTTAACTACTAGTTAAATTTAAAGAAAAAGGAAAAAAGCAAACAAAAACACCCACGAAAACATGAGCATCCTTTGGATACTTTCCAGTTTTATTCTGCTGCCATAACATAGTTCACACAGAAGAGCTGAAGTGTAACAGATCATGCTCTGCATTCAAACATGTAACAAATCTTCTCAAAGAAAACATTCCCCAGTCCTTTATTTGCAGGGAATAAATTAAACGCAAAACATACACATGCTTGAAATAAATTTTAACATAGGTATCAAAAAAATTTGGGGGGAACATTAATTAAGGAACGAATTCTCAGAACCAGCCTGATGTTCTTATACATTTCAAACAAATGTAAATTACAATGGAACATACTTATTTTATTTACTCTTCAAACTGAAGTGCAGCACAATATAGTTTAGGTGCCTTGGCACCGAAATAATATACAAATAATTAATATACGAGGCCGTTTGTAAATTCATCATTAATTCATTATTAGTTAGCCTTTTTTTTAATGCTAAAAGAAGTGTGTAGCAGCTGAAGCCAAATGTGACCATATTTTGTTCATGTCCATCTTTATTCTCTAGAATATAGCATTTATCTATCTGCAAAGTTATAGATTTGAAACTCCAAGTACAAATTAACAGTATGGAAGCATATGCCTAAAATGAAGCATGTCCACATAAACTTTGGACTGCAGAAAGGGATGCTGAGCTCAACTTTCCAGGCATTTCCTGTCTAAAATGCGATGTTATTTATATGCTGTTACTAAGGTGACTGAAGTTTTGATCAGCTGAAGCAGCTATTTGGGCTTGTAGAAATTAGGGGGTTTTTTCCTACTTCAGAAGCTCCTCTCCCGATAATTTTGTCATATACAATAAACTAGAAAAGAAACGTGGAAGTCAAACTATGCAGCTCTTTATCTCTCCTACTTAGGCTGTGAATTGGCTTCTAAGTTATGAAATTAACAAAGTGCAAATGATTACCCAAAGCAAAATCTGATGCCCGATTACCTTTTCTTATCAGAGGATTTTGTCTTGCTTCTTATAACCTTTAAATTACAAGTCAATACTTGGAAATACTTTTAAACTGTACATACTAGCATTCATATAGAGGAAAATTATGAACAGGTACACTTTTTCTATTAATTCATATAATTCAGCTTTAAGAAGCAGAACAAAATATATATCTGAAAAACATTAGTTATATAAACATCTTCATCTTGTAAATTAGAGATTAATTAAAGGTATTTAACAATATCATAGCTATTCTAACAACAAAATATTAGGTAAATAAAAAGAAGAATTGCATTTATTCAGTAGGATTTTTCTTAAGATTGATTGTTGGGTTTGGTTTTTTTTTTTCCCAAGGATACAGCTTTATGAAAATAAGCACTGTAACTCAAAAGCTTGCTGTTAACTCTTAAATGAAGAGATTAAACAAAAAGAACCTATGCATGAGAACAGATGAGGGGGAAGAGAACAAGTGCTTACTTTCCTTTCAGAAGTCAGGAGATTTGTGCAGTAGTTAGAGGGAAGGTGTGGGGGAAGAGATCTAAAAGTTGGGTTACATTTTTCTTTTCATTAATGCTGTTTTAGTGGAACAGTATTACAACAGAGATCCTCATTATGTCTGTCTTATTTCTATTGAAAAACACTTCATTTCCTTCCCTCTCCCATTGAAAAGCTATTAGATAGATGCTTAGGCCTTACTGAATTACACCCTCAAGACATTTTTAACAATACTTTAATTATAAAAGTAAAAAGAAGAAGAAAAAAAAACTTCAAGTCAAAGTGCAAGCCACCTTGTTTCAGCCCTTCATAAAAGTCTTAATGTTTTTCCTCATTCATCTTCACTTATTTTTTAAATATAAAAGCTGAATGAGCCTTTAGGAACTTAGAGTCCTTCATCCCCAACCGTGCAGTCATATCAGTAGATAGTTTTTCTATTCAGCCCAAATTTCATTTGGAAGTTTGTTTTCAAAATACTCTTAGAGGTAAGAGTGTTTTTAAGCTGTCGTATTCCTATATGATCAGAAGCACTAAGCAAATCTGCACTTAGCGTATTATTGTAATAAGAATTTATCTGAATATGTAGCAGAAAGAATATTTTACATTTCTTTAAAGTAATGTAAATGTTAATTTTTCAAGTTCTATTAGGTACAATAACCTTTTTATGATTGCACTGTAAACTGTTCCAGCCATCTGATTTAAAGGAACAAACTTGATACTCCAAAGCCCACTTTGTGGAGGCTAAGAATATGAAAAATATTATAGAAAAGGTTATTGATTCCAAGTGGAAAAAGTTCCTTCCTACAATAATTCTAGAATTTGTCTAGGTTCTTCAGGCTTTGGGAAGGAAATTGGAACTCCTGTGAGCATAATCAACCTGAGAAGCACAGTTAGCAGAAAATCCCTGTGACTACTAACTGCTAGCATTTTTAATGTTGTATATTAACTTGGTTTTAATCTGACCTTCTGAAATGAAGGTTCATAATAGCATGATTCAAGCTGTACAGAAGAGGATGCTTAATGAAAGTTCCATTAGTTAAGTCGTGGCTAGGGATTCCAGTGTCACTCTTGCCAGTAATACCTTAGAATCCCTATTAATATCAGGGCTTAGAAGGAGGGGAAGTGAGAGGGCTAGGGAGAAAGAAGAGTAAAGGAAGATGAAGATTTTATCTTCAGGTACCAAACACTATTTAAGTACCACTTAGGGAAAAGGCAGCAATAGGAAACTTGAAGATAGTTCTACCCACAGAAAACAATTAAAAATATATCTATAAACACAAAATTTCAGTACTTAAAATGCTGCTATTTTGCTCGCTTCTCGAACTCCACTCAGGTAAGCTCCTGTGACGGTCTGAGGAAAGTGCCTATTTGTGGCCTGTATTTAAACAAAGAAAGTTAGTTTTTTCTAAAACTATTAGAAGATAGAATTTCAGTTCATAATACTAATTTTATTTTCCTTAATCATACACAAACATTTTTTAAAGCCATGGAAAACTTCTTAGAAAGGATTTTGGACGAAATATTTAAGATTTTAGCTACTTCAAAATTTGCAAGCAAGTCAACTAGCAAAAGCAGTAGTCTGTTTTGGCATTTGCATGTTAGTGGGGCAGGTAAGTTCTGATCCAGTGTAGAACGCATCTATACCATCAGCAGTATGCCTTTGTTATGTTACCCACAAATGGAGTAATACACGACTGAAGATACAGGTGGATTGTATAGTCTTGTCATGTTCTGCGCTTACAGTTTACATGGTTCACTCCTGGCCTGAAATAGCTGACAGACTTTCCATGCCAAATAACGTTAATAAAAAGGATTGAGTCAAAAATCAAAAAACATTAGAATTGTAGAACCACAGAATGGCTTGGGTTGGAAAGGACCTTAAGATCATTTAGTTCCAAGCCCCCTCCCACAGGCAGGAGTACCTCACACTAGACCATGGCACCCAAGGTTCTGTCCAACCTGGCCTTGAACACTGACAGGGATGGGAACATTTACCACTTCTTTGGGCAACTTGTTCCAGTGCTTCACCACCCTCACAGTAAAGAACTTCTTCCTTTTATCTCTTCTGATCATCCCCTGTTTAAGTTTAAATCCATTACCCCTTGTCCTATCACTACTCTGATGATAGTAGTAGTGTCACTACTTCCTGATGAAGAGTTAGCGTATTTGTGTAACGGGATATTTATGTGCTACCTCTAGATTAATGGTGTTGGCTAGCAAAAGATGATCTTTCACAAGAAATAGTTCCCCAATGACTTTAATCAACACTAACAGAGATACTTACCTCACCAGCAAAAAATATTTTTCCTTGTATGTCTTCAGCTATAATGTCATAAGCTTCACCGCTGCCCCCTGTTTTCACAAAGCTATATGCCATCTGGAGCCAAGGGTCTTTGCTCCACTGAGTAACAAAAAACTTCACCGGGTCAGGAACCTCCTGCAAAACCAAAATCGAATTTATTCACTGCAAAGAGAAGCCCAAAATTGCTTTGCTTCTTCTTATAAACAGTTCCTTGTCATCTTTAGAGTATGTAGCGTGATTACTATACAAATTAGATTACATTTCAGAATTAAATTCCAATTTTCTTTATTACAGTACTAACCACAAAGATAATTTTATTTGCTAGATGTGCTTGATGCCCAAAACATCACAGCTGCACTGTTTTGAATGCAACAAATCTGGATACTACACGAGGGGGAAAAAAAAAAATCTCAAAATAGATACTCTTGCAAACAGGTAAAATACCAATATCATCGTCAGCCTTCCAGTATCTGAAGGTGGCCTACAGCGATGCTGGAGAGGGACTCTTCATCAGTGACTGTAGTGATAGGACAAGGGGTAACAGGTTCAAACTAAAACACGGGAAGTTCAGGACAGATAAGAGGAAGAAGCTCTTTACTGTGAGGGTGGTGAGGCACTGGAACACGTTGCCCAAAGAAGTGGAAATGCTCCATTCCTGGCAGTGTTCAAGACCAGGTTCAATAGAGCCTTGGGCAACATGGTCTAGTGTGAGGCATCCCTAGCTGTGGCAGGGGAGTTGGAACTAGGTTACCTTAAGGTCCTTTCCAACCCTACCTATTCTAGGATTCAACACGTTTGTGTATGTAATGTAAGCACTTTCTATCTTGGTAAGGCATGGTGCTTTGCTACTTCTAGGTGTTAAATGTCAAATGGTAATCTTCATTTTGGAGATAACTTTATTCCAGTGGAGAAATAACATTACTTATCTAAGACCAGAAAACGAGCTGGCTTGAAAACCAGGTTCAGGAAGAAATTAAAAAAAAAAAAAAAGAAAAAAAAAGGAAAAAACCAACCCAGAAAGTCAATAGTGCTTATAGCGAAACCATGACAGTAATACTGGGTATTCTTTGTCACATTGCAGCATAAAAATTGCACATAATTCTACCAAAAAGAGCCTGGATAACAATTGTCTGAAGGCTTAGTCAACTACAACTGTATCTTACACTTGAGGAGCTTGTGACAAGTAAACAGAAGCACCTCTGGTTGCCTCCTACACAACATCTGATATCAACAAATAGACTGCTCCATTTAGGTAGCAAATGAGAGACTAAAGCTCAAGCAATTAAGACAACAGCTAACTAAGTGTGTCAGGTTTCATGGACAACCCAGAAGAAGTTCTCATACACCTCTGGAAGCTATCTTCTCTTTGAAAATCACACTGTGTTGTGGACAGATGACTGAAATTCACAACTGCTATAAAGCATGGAGATGGACATGAAAATCATTCTTCTAGTCCAGAGCATCACCAAAACCAAAGACCTGTTTGCTGCCTCTACATTCTCATGAGATCACAATAGCAGGTATGTGGACTTAGCTTGCATGTGATTCTGGTAACTGTAAAGCTATCACCAAATGTATGTTTTCTAGGAAAAGTCAAGCTTTCAGACACCAAAGTTTTTTCCAAGATCATTAATTCTAGCATCTCAAATAAAACTTGAGAGATCACCTGTGAGCATTAGCACAAGCATTCCTTGGGATCCAACTGCTCTAAGTAATTTAAACTAAGGCATTACTGTCTATAGAGTGGAATGCAAGTAACATTGCTGAGTGATCGTCTTCTGCTTGCCCCAGATTTCCACGAGTTTCCTATTAGTTTTTATCCTAATGATGAGCGGGGGGGGGGAAGTAGAAATTTCTATCTGATTTTTTTTTTTTTTTACACTCAGGATACAGGGCCCTTGATAAATCATTCTGCCTGTACTTCCATCCCAAGACAGCTCAGCAAGGGTTGTTTCTTATTACAAGAATAAGGGATTTGTTTTGGGGGGCATTGTATTTTTAGTTGCTTTTTACATAGGGGGTGGGGAAATAATAATCTAGCTTAAAGCTTTTATGATGTATTGGAAGCAGTGATGAAAAAAATACCCTCAATCAACTATCTCTTAGAAAAAGTGACAGCTAAGAAAGAAGCATATTTATGTTATGTGCCCAAAGTACTGATTTTAATTCATTTGCCTTTCTAAAAATGCTTTCAAGGGTGACAGTTCATTTCCGGTTTTCAATTCATTACCATTTTCCTTCAGACAGATCTAAGATATTTCAATTCACATTTTTCACACAAGAGACCAAGCATTGTGTTTTTAAGTGTATCTCAAAGGAAGCATATTCTCTCAAACTGTTAAGAAAGGAAAAATAGAATAGTAGAATAGTTAGGGTTGGAAAGGACCATAAGACCATCTAGTTCCAACCCCCCTGACATGGGCAGGGACATCTCACACTAAACCATGTCACCCAAGGCTTTGTCCAACCTGGCCTTGAACACTGCCAGGGATGGAGCATTCACAACCTCCCTGGGCAACCTATTCCAGTGCCTCATCACCCTAACAGGAAAGAATTTCTTCCTTATATCCAATCTAAACTTTCCCTGTTTAAGTTTGAGCCCATTACGCTTTGTCCTGTCACTACAGTTCCTAATGAAGAGTCCCTCCCTATAGGCCCCCTTCAGATACTGGAAGGCTGCTATGAGGTCTCCACGCAGCCTTCTCCAGGCTGAACAGCCCCAACTTTCTCAGCCGATCTTCATATGGGAGGTGCTCCAGTCCCCTGATCATCCTCGTTGCCCCACCTCTGGACTTGTTCCAACAGATCCATGGCCTTTTTATGTTGAGAACAGCAGAACTGCACACAGTACTCCAGGTGAGGTCTCACAAGAGCAGAGCAGAGGGACAGGATCACCTCCTTCGACCTGCTGGTCACACTCCTTTTGATGCAGCCCAGCATATGGTCGGCTTTCTGGGCTGTGAGTGCACACTGTTGGCTCACGTTCATTTTCTCATCGACCAGCACCCCCAAGTCCTTCTCTGCAGGGCTGCTCTGAATCTCTTCTCTGCCCAACCTGTAGCTGTGCCTGGGATTGCTCCGACCCAGGTGTAGGACCTTGCACTTGTCATGGTTAAACTTCATGAGGTTGGCATCAGCCCACCTCACAAGCATGTCAAGGTCCCTCTGGATGGCATCCCTTTCCTCCAGTGTATCAACCGAACCACACAGCTTGGTGTCATCGGCAAACTTGCTGAGGGCGCACTCAATCCCACTGTCCATGTCAGCAACAAAGATGTTGAACAAGACCGGTCCCAACACCGATCCCTGAGGGACACCACTCGTTACTGGTCTCCAGCCAGACACTGAGCCATTGACCACAGCTCTGTGTGCGGCCATCCAGCCAGTTCTTTACCCACCGAGTGGTCCATCCATCAAATTGATGTCTCTCCAATTTAGAGACAAGGATGTCGTGTGGGACAGTGTCAAACGCTTTACACAAATCCAGGTAGATGACATCAGCTGCTCTACCCCTGTCCATCAGTTCTGTAGCCCCATCATAGAAGGCCACCAAATTGGTCAGGCAGGATTTCCCCTTAGTGAAGCCATGCTGGCTGTCACCAAGCACCTTGTTGTTTTTCATGTGCCTTAGCATGCCTTCCAGGAGAATCTGCTCCAAGATTTTGCCAGGCACAGAGGTGAGACTGACTGGTCTGTAATTCCCCGGGTCATCCATTTTCCCCTTCTTGAATATGGGGGTTATATTTCCCTTTTTCCAGTCACTGGGAACTTCACCTGACTGTCATGATTTTTCAAATATGATGGCCAGTGGCTTATCAACTTCATTTGCCAGCTCCTTCAGGACCCACGGATGGAGTTCATCAGGACCCATGGACTTGTGTGCATTCAGGTTTTTAACATGGTCTCAAACTAGATCCTCTCCTACAATGGGCCCAAGGTCTTCATTCTCACAGTCCCTGCGTCTGCCTTCCAAGACTTGGATGGTGCGGTCAGAGCCTTTGCCAGTGAAGATCGAGGCAAAGAAGTCGTTCAGAACCTCAGCCCTTTCCAAATCCTGTACAGTCAGTTCTCCTGATACCTTCTGGAGGGGGCCTACGTTGTCCCTAGTCTGTTTTTTATTCACTACGTACCTATAGAATCCCTTCCTGTTATCCTTAACATCCCTAGTCACATTTAATTCTGACTGGGCCTTCGCTTTGCTAACCTGGTCCCTAGCTTCGCAGACAACATCCCTGTATTCTTCCCAGGCCTCCTGTCCTTGCTTCCACTTTTTGTAAGCCTCTTTTTTCATTTGAATTTTCCTCAGCAGCTCCTTATCCATCCACGGAGGTCTCCTGGCCCTCCTGGTGCACTTCCTTCTAGTTGGGATGCAACACTCCTGAGCTTGTAGCAGGTGATCTTTGAAGACCAACCAAGAGTCTTGGGCCCCCCTGCCCTCTAGGGCTATATCCCATGGAACCTTACTAAGCAGGTTCCTGAAGAGGCCGAAGTCTGCTCTGTTGAAGTCCAGGGCAGTGAGCTTGCTGCATGCTCTTCTCACTTACCTGAGGATCTCAAATTCAACCATCTCATGATCGCTGCATCCAAGGCTGCCCTGCAGCGTCACATTTCCATCCAGCCCTTCCCTGTTGGTGAGCACGAGGTCAAGCATGGCACCTCTCCATGTCAGCTCCTCTATTACTTGCAGAAGGAAGTTGTCTTCCATGCAGTCAAGGAACCTCCTAGGTTGCTTGTGCCAGGCTGTACCATCGCTCCGACAGATGTCAGGGTGGTTGAAGTCCCCCATGAGAACAAGGGCCTGTGAGCGTGAGGCTTTTCCTATCTGTTTATAGAGTGCTTCATCTGCAGGTTCCTCTTGATCAGGCGGTCTGCAACAGTAATGTCTCCTATCGCTGTTCTCCCTTTACCCCTGACCCACAAACTCTCTGTCGACTGCTCACCTGCCCCCAGACAGAGTTCCATACTCTCCAGCCTATCCCTAACATAAATAACAATAGTTAAACGTCAGAGGTTCTTATACATCATGAAGTAATGCGATCAAAAGCTTTACGCCTGTTGGCAAATTAATTCATCTCTTAGTAAGAGTCTTCCTTTACCTGCTCCTTAAACAGCTCTCGAAGTACAGTCATACACTGTTGTAGTACTTGTTTATCATCCAAATTTTTAATGTTTTCCACAGCATCTCCAGTGACCACTGACATTAAAATGCTTTCTTTGCCCTAAAAAGAAGACATTAACATATGAGATCATTTTGAAATTAATAGGCTAGTATTTCTTGAAGAGTCCCTTTTAATTGGTATTGACAGAGATTCTAAGCTACCAAGCAACTTTTGTTCTAGAGGAAAGTGGGTTTAATTCCTTAGAATAAAGACTGCATATTCTACAGTATTTATGCTCAGTTACTAACATCCTTTGACGTCTTGTTCACAGATCTGTGTTATAGTCAGCCCCATTTATAACTTGCTGAATTAACTGAAAACTTCCTATCTACCTATTTAAAAGCTACACCAAAACATTTCACATTTATGGTGTTATTCTTTATGAGAAACCTCTTGAGCTCCAGTTCTGTGCCAAAATTCTACCTCAACTGAATTCCAGTTTCAAAAGGTGGTAATAAAAAGAATCTATTAAAATACTAGTTAGATACATTTTGGATTAGGCAAATACTAAGTTCTTACCAGGAGATTTTGGCCCAATTCTTCCAGCAGAGAATAGCTATCAGGCAAGTTAAAAATTGTATCTAGTGTCTCTGGACAGCACCAGCACATTAAACCTCATGTAGAATGAACTTTAGTATTGAAGAGAAAACTTCTGCTTAAGGGTAGTCATGTACAGGTACAGAGTGCATAGTAATGTCTTCAAAGGATGGCTTCCTTTTGGAGTAAGCCATAAGGTTACAAAATGACCTTTTAACTGCAGCCAAGTAGTAAACAGCAGTTGTAAAAACATAAAAGGTAAGATAAAAATGTGTCATGTCTGCTTGGAACTGGCAGGGAAAAGAAATATTATGTCAATGCACTGGTTTGAATTTGTTTTGAAATTCAGGAGTTTGGGACTAATCCTACAGACCTCAGTTTCATACAAAGCCTAGTGTTGGTCTTCTGTGATTCCACATAGCTATTCAGGCTAGTGCAAGTCATTAAGTGTTAATAAACCAGTATGATCTTTTTAACAGGATTTTTAACTAATTTAAATAAGGGAACAGAAGTCCTAAACTGGAAGTGACTGGTAGACTTTGTCCCATACTGATACATCTATAGTCAGGTATTAACAGAATTTTTTGAGAATGAAAGTATTAACTTGCTATATTATTTGTATCCAAAAGTAAGAAAACATTCCCATTTATTACAAAGAAGTATCAATCAGATTTTGTTTGATAAGTAACACTGCTTCCACTTCTTGGGACAGTTGCAGGAATGTGGGAAAGAAAACTTTTGTTGTTCAGTAATTGTCACACCTAGATTCCAGACTGAATTTCTGAAAGGCCAATAGAAAATACAGTTAGCGCATGATACCTCTGGATCCATGTCATAGAAAACGCTGAAGAGCCCACGCTGGCTGGAATTGGGTGGAACATGACCAAAAAAATCAGCTCCTTGAATTTTACTGTCCCAGAATCTGTAGGGAAACTGCAAGGCAACCTAGAGGGAGATGAAATTAAAGCATTACATAACACAAAAGTTAAAACTGGATATGGTCTATGTTCTTCTTCTAATTCTTTGTCCCTTTTTCACTCAAGTAGAGACATCCATTTCTATGAGAGGGTCTCAACAGAGAATATGTGGGTCCGTTCTCCAAGAGGGACAGGGAAGAGAAAAAGATGCTAGTCTCACAAACTGCAAATGCACAGACTGTCAGTTCACTATGGAAAATGCTCAAGAAATTCAACAGAATTTTTAAAAACCTAATGTAGAACTTGGTGATCCCAAGCTCTGTGGTTTCTGAACCCTGGCTTGAAATTTCAACATTGTTACAGTGCTGTTCCCGGCATTACTTCTGTTACTGTTTTGTTCTGAGTGCACATTTGTGATCTTACTAGGGATCATTTCAGGAGAAGTTGTATTTGCGCTAGGAAAGGGTAGAAGATTTTACACTGGTCAAATGCACAACTTTCAGCATTCTTCTGAAATAGCTTATGTATTTATTATGTCTAAAGGACCTAGAATAAGCATATTATTTGAATTTTGGAAGATTTAAGACCATCATGAAGGCTTGCTGAAAATTAAACCTAAAATGTTTAAGTTGTGAAATGATTCTGCAAACAATCTCTTTAAAAAACCGATTAAGTTTGGAAATCTAAGAAAGAGAAATATATGTCATCCCCAATAGCATTTTGCTCTTCTAGGCTAGTGTATACAAGGAAAACCAAATGCATAGTAATTCCTGAGGGATATGCAGTAAAGGCAACAGGGACAAAGCAGCTAGTGTTTCTATGAAAAGAAAATTAAATATAATCTGAAATTACTTACCTTCTCAATGACTCCTGCTCCTAAACTATTAATGGCTTTAATTTTTTTTTCTGACAGTGGAGGATTAAACTGAATGACATTTTTCTGAAGAAGAGCCAGTGGTACAGTCACTAATACCTGAAAGAAATAATTACAACAGTAGCAAAAACTACTGCACTTAAGCCTTGCAGCATTGTCTTGACTATCTTGGATTATCCTTGTAAGATGCAGCATAATACTCACCAGACATCTTTTGACCAGTGTCTAGTTTTACTCCCCATTAATGAGAAACTCATGACTTACATTCAGGAGAGAACAGGTCCTACAGTTCACTCTATTTAAGTTGTAGTCTGTTGAATTGTTTGTAGCAGAGTGGGTAACCTTGCTACTAATTTTAATACCTCCCACAAATTATAATCAGTGGCTCTCATATTAACAAAACTGCCCTTTTTGGAAAGAGAGAGAAGATGGTCTTTGCTTTCTTTTTTCTTCCTTCACAGATCCCTTCTTTTTAAAATATGCTCAGTAACACTGTTGATGTCAATCCAGCCTTGATCAAATTCATGTATAATTTTAAAAATCACTAAAGGCTAAATTACACAGCATGAAGCCAGCATGGATACAATGAAATACAAGTTGTCAAGTCCTGCAAGCCAAAGGGAAAAATTTTAATAGGGCAGATTCACTGGCTAAATAGGGTAAAGCTGTGAGCAGGGAATAGAGCTAGAAAACATAATCATCACTTCAAAGACCAGATAAAAATCTATTTGCTTCACATTTTTATTACTAACTTTATAGTGTTTAGTTCTTCAAATTAACTAGTACCCAAAACTCAAGCATGCTTAATGAAAAATAAGCTCTAGGACATCCAAATATGGGTCACTAAAGTATATAGTGTTTTCATCTTTGGGGGAAGAAACTGGACTAAATAAGTCTTCTGATGGGGAAGGAAAAAAAAAAAGAAAAAAGGACTGTACTGTGGTCAATATTGAATATTCAATATTTAATGTCATCCTGAAGCATATTAGGTACCTTTTGTGTTGTCCACACTGTTCCATCTGCAGTAGTGACCTGTATTTCCTCACCAGAATAGTCAATAGTCTGTACCTGTCGAGAGACGAATTGAAGGTTATACTACAAAAATATACATATGCGATGGATGCAAATTCAGACAATAGCAAATATAGCACCAGTCTGAAAACTAGGAATTGAAGAACAAAGGTTTTCCAAGAAATATTGAAAGAAAAAAAAAGCCTCCATGGAAGCTGAAAACAAAACTCATAGTGATTCTAACATATAAGCTCATCATATCATAACATTTAAGTACTGATAGTTCTCAAAGAGGATTTCCAGAAATGGTGAAATTGTCCTCTCTTTATTATTAAAGACAAGTCGAAATAATCACAGGCACATATTTGTCTGGTCCAAAAGAATACAAAGATATGACTTTGTGCTTCAAAGCAATCCCAGACAGGCACCACATCAACATTTTCCAGACTCACTGGGAAATTCAGCCGGATGTCCAGCCCCTCTGCCAATTTATCAATCACAGTAGAATATCCCACAGTTAAAAGAGTGTGATCTCCTGCAAACTGTGCAAAAAATTCATTGTGGTCCCATGAGCGTGCAGATACCTGTGGACAGAACATAACTAGCTGTGTTTACTGGTGAGGTGATACGGCTGCTATCAAAAGTCCCACAGTTTAGAAGCAGCCACCCTAATTCCCTTCACAACTGGAAAAAACCAAAAAGCGTATCCCCAGAATGTATGGAAATACTGACAAACCAAACAGCTCGTTTAGCTAAGGACACTGTACAGCATATGAATTGCTAGATTAAGAAATGTTGTAATGTGAGTTGGTCAATAGCAGGTACTTTATAGATCTGCATAGTAGAGAAAACAAGGAAAGCAGTACAAAATTTCAGGTGGGTTTCAGTGTATTTATTTTGGTTTTCTGTCTCTAGCAAAGAAATCAGATTTTACAGTCTTAAAGCTTCAAATAAAAATGGAAATATTTTATTTCCCAACAGGAAGGGAAAAATGAGATACCGAAAGATCTCAGTGGAAATTTTCTGTTACTTCAGAGGCTCCTCCATGGTATCTTTCATTGACCTCCCCCACCCCTGCAAACTCATAGTACAAAAGTGGTGATTGCTTAGTGCAAATATCACTAAGCAATAAAAAAAAAAAAAAAACGGAAACACTTCTCAAAGTGCTATTCAGATGCCAGCTCCTATCACTGCAGGTGCATTTACTTCATATTTTGAGTTTAAAATTGAAGGTAACACAGATTTTAACATCTCTCTTATTTCCTTGGGTGTTTATGAAGTGTGAAAGCTTGACACATCAAACTGTTTTCCACTGGCTGCCCAGTCTTGCAGATTTTTATTATGTTATGTGCTTCTCAGTTCAGATTTGTGCATCTGCACAGATCAGTCAGCTGTCCCACTACAATTGACTCTAAACATCTTTAACCCAAGCAACAGGACTGAGTAAATAATGCAGTGCAAACAACATCATACTCTGATATCAATTTCCTGAACCTGCTTGGTTAAAACTGAAGTTGCAAGGAAAGCTAAGTATCACATAGTCAACAGAATACCTAGGAGTGCTGAACTGGGGCCCACCATCAGGGTGTTGGAACACTTCAGAATTTAAATGCATTTATTCTCAAGATACCTAGCAAGGTAGAGAAATACCTCAGTTTTTAAACACAGAACTGAGAAGCAGAAGTCACAGACAATATCTGAGGAGGAGTAACTCTCCTGTGAATCCTACCACCCAGTATCTCAGCAAGATGTCCTACTACACTGCACCATCTACTTTCGTCTTCTGTGTTAAGGAGGATCTCACTGGAAGTATGTAATGAACTCCTGACAGATTACCTAAGGCAGCACTGTAGTCTGTATCTCAATGCTTTTGAAGAACATGTTTGGGACACAGGAAGTTTAGGGGTAGCTGATCCTTTGGGACCGTGGGATGGATCATCTCAATGTTGCCTCCAACCCTGTTTCCTATGAAGCTCAACCACATCAGAACACAGCTATCAAAACTCACCTGAGAGAGGTTGCTGCCACAGGCATACTCCAAATTACTGAGATGGAACTGTAATACTTTTTCTTCAAGCTCACTGAACTGGATACCAGACTCCTGAATAAAGGCTTTATAGATCTCTTGTATTTTTTCTGTGAAAGAACACGTTTAAAACAAGGATATATCATGATTAGTCAAAAGTCCTGCTACATTTCAATATGCTGCTCTCTGGATCACAAGATTTTCATGCTTATTGCTATTTTGCGCCAAGATGTTTTTCTTCTCATAGGAAAAAAAAAAAGGCAGGAACTTTCTGATGATAAACAACTCTGGTGTTTGATCACAGGTTTCCCTAGTAAATGGGAAGTTTTAAGGTAAAATAGAGGTTAAAATTATTTCAAAGAAAATAAGAAAAGAAACACTGCGACAGCACAGCTGGGCTAGCCAATTGAGACAGGATTTAAATTAATTGTTTAGCTATCATCAATATACAGTAGAAGATATTTGAAGGAAAATACACTGTAAGATAATGGAGAATCCTTGCAAATAAATTCTTGCTGAATTTTTACAAAACCAAAAAAGCTGAGGAATTTAATCCAGAGTTCACTGAGGAACATAGGAGCTGCTAATTCTGTCTTACGGAATCCAGCTGGAAAGATTTGGAAGGCAGACATTTCTGAGTAAGTTTTTGTTGTTGTTGTTGTTGAATGTGCTTGTATGCTGTGTGGTGGGAGGCGTTACCAATGGAGATGGGAAAATTCTTGCCAGCAGAAGGCTTTAATCAGACTATTTTTTAGAAAGATTAATCAAAAAGTGTAAGAGCTGTCAACAAATATGTCCTGCTTCAGCAAGGAACACATCCTTTTAACTGCTTCTGCCACTAGTTACACTGAAAATGCTACCTCATGAAAACAAGATGCTACATCAGAAGTTACACAGTATTATAAAAGCCTACCAATTAGACTTCCTTAAAAGTTACAAGCAACATTTTGGTCTGTGTGTATACAACAGTCCTCCACAGAGCCAGGTTATCACCGCTGGATTTAAGGTCAGATGTATATCCATACACTTCTAAAAATGTCTGCTGTAAAAGCCAATCTAATATAAAGTCTATGAATACAGCCAACATCTTCAATTTGCAATACCTCTCACACTTACCACCAAGAGGAACATCTTGATGTTGAGTTTTATCTTTTCTCCACTCAGAGACAACATCTAGGATGGCATTGAAATGAAAATCCATACGTTTATCAATGGTGGGATCTGTTATTCTTCCGCCTTCTTGGATCAAGTCACATTTCTCCCCTAGTTTGTGCATTTTAATGCCAAGCTTAAGAAAAAGACATTTTATTGTGCTTTAAGTATTGAAAAACTACAGTGCATAGCCTGCTCAAAATTATTTAAAATAACATAAATCCCTCAAATTTAAGTGATACCACTTAAAAGATATCCATAACTTTAGATAATTAGTCAAACTAACTCCAACTTTCATTGTCTTAAAACTGGAATACCCAACAATTTTTAATTCCATTGATTTTTCAGTTTTCACCTCCCTCATCCCTCCTTCCTTTATTAGGGATTTCCAGAAACCTTATCTCCAACTTCCCTCTCAGGCCAGGGGCTGGTATAGAAATGTTGGATCTGGTCATCAAACGTGATGAACCAGTCTCCTTTATTTCTACCTTATCTTATTCTTTAAATAGCCATTAAAATAATTCCCCAGAATTTTCTTCTGCCTGATGCCAAATAGTTCCCTGCATTCAGGAACTGACAGGATGTTGCTTGCCAATTACCTCCAATTTTATTAACAAGCAAGCAAGCAAAGAAAGAAATTTGGAATTAAACCTTCTAGAGTACCTTGCTCTACTTGTCCAACTTGTATCAAACACACAACAGAACTAAATCAGAATAAAGATGTTTTTATGTTCTACAGTCTAAAGAAAACAGCAAATACAGCACTGACTTCTTCCTAGGGCCCTGTTACATAAGGGTGCACTCCAGTTTTTCACATATCCTCACAACTCTCTAGGCTGCTGGTCATCACTGCAGATCCATTCTCAAGATAGATAGAGCTGTACTTCGAATGAAAGACAATATCAAATTACCAAAAAGGGATGGGCACCCAGGATATTCAGAAGCCATTGCTCCTCACTGCATAACTAAAACATGATTAAAAAAAACCAAATATCCTCATGAAAAAATCCCCTTATGACACTATAGAGCACTATACTGGCTGGATTTGCAAGCCTCTCTGAACAAAATCCATACTCTGGTTCCACTTGGAGATACTCAGCTCCCTGCCCCAAAACACCCACATGAAACAAAACAAACAAAAATCTAACTGTAATGTGTTTACATTAGTAGCTGTTGGACATAATCAACTTGTGTGGAATTGAACTAGAAATACAGAGGCTGAGCAAAGGCAAGCACATCACAGAAGTATATATTATGACAACACAGCAGTAGCCTCTGACAGCAAATCCTTTCCAGAAATAGGGAAAAAGTGGTTTCTTCTGGTTCTGAAGCTGGAGCTTTCCTTTACATAACGTACCATTCTACAGCCCTTCTTTGTTCCCAGCTGTTATCAAAGATACAAGAGCAACATGGAGTTTACTTACAACACAGAATGGTGTTTTAACAGTACCATGAAAATGGACTCCCACCCTTATCCAGCCACTCAAACCTGGCTTTAATGACAGTTTTTCAGTAGTGATAATGCATGACTACTGCAGGGAACCCACTTGCTCACACATTAGTGCCATTGGGTTGTTGACACATCCATTGACGATTTGTGCACCTCTTCCAACAGTGACTCCTTTGAATGTCTTGTCATCCCATACTCGGCCACCAATTCTGTCTTTAGCTTCCAGGATGATGACCTATGACACAATGCAGCTTAGTAAATTGTAGGATTTGATTACATTAAACATCTGCTCAACTCCAGAGCAAAGGAGAAAATGAAACATTTAAATTGTCTTTGAAAGGTTGCCCTACAGGATATACACATATAAAACAATTGTTAATTTAAGAAATTATCCTAACAAAAATAGGCTTAAGATGTATTCAGGACATCTCAAAATTGAATTTAAGGCTATTTACATATATGTTTAAGTGCTGGAGTCTATTAAGCACAATCATTTCGGTGCAGTGTCCATCTGAGGAAATCCATTTACCTTTTGGAGAAATTTGATCCTGGAATATTCCAAGAAAACCCCGTTCTCATGTATTTCCACCATTCATACTCATTCAGCATCCACTACCTGTCACAGACACAGGATACTGGACTAGGTAGATATTTGACTGATTACGTTAACACCTACTTATGTTATCTTTTTATTTTTAGAGAAACATCATCTCTCCAGAGCAGTAGAAACCAACAGTGTGTGTGTATATCTATAATGTATCATATGTTTTAAAAAACCTCTTGCCAGTTGATATTTATGTATTTTACTGTAGGATAGCTTTCCAAAAGACTTGGTGTACAGAAAGCCTGTAGTTCAGTTTGCTATTTAGCAACCAAAGAATGAGATAATGGGCCTGTAGGATTCAGGGAGTCATAAATATATACATATATGAACATATAAATATGTCAATCTAGAAAGTCAAATGCTTATTTATTTCCTTAAACGTCAGCTTTGCAAACACTTCATACGTAAAGAGTCCCATGGAATGTACAATCACGTCAACATGTAAATATTGTGAGATCACACTGTCAAATATGAGAAAGGCAAAATACATAAAATTTGCCTGGTTTTAATAAGCAACAAGGAAGTATAGTAAAGTGCACAAATGAAAGAATATTTCACCTCATTTAAACAGCATTATCATCTACAGCCCCATTTTTTGGACATGACTATCTCCCCTATTCTCCCAAACCAAGCCCTTGTAAAATACTCACTGTGTGCTTTGCTGAATTTTAGATACCAATAAATGCTGTTTTAAACCAGCAGATTTACTCAATAAGCTTCTAGATTTTACAAATTGTCCTGGGTTCAGGAGTAGCAGTCATTTTTCTCCTTCTTAGTAGCTGGTGCAGTGCTGTGGTTTTGACTCTCAGCCTGAGAACAGCGCGGTAACACTGATGTTTTTAGTTGTTGCTAAGTAATGTTTAGTCTGACCAAGGACTTTCTGAGTCTCATGCTCTGCCAGGGAGGAAGGGAAGCCGGGAGGAAGCAGAGACAGGACACCTGACCCAAACTGACCAAAGGGGTATTCCATACCACAGCAGGTCATGCGCAGTATATAAACTGGGAGCAGTTACCCGGAAGGGCTAGATCACTGCTCGGTTGGGCTGGGTATCAGTCACCGGGTGGTGAGCGGTTGTATTCTCTTCCCTTGTTATTTCCCTTATCGTTATTATTACTGGTGGCAGCAGTAGTGGTTTGTGTTATACCTTAGTTACTGCACTGCTCTTATCTCAATCCATGGGAGCTACATTCTTTCAATTCTCCTCCCCATCCCTCCGGGAGCAGGGGGTGGGGGAGCGAGCGAGCGGTTGCGTGGTTCTGAGTTACCGGCTGGGCTGAAACCACGACACGAATTAAAATTCCCCTATACATAAATGTCTGTAACAAGAATGTAATTGTTATTTTTTCTTTCATTTTAATGAAGAACACTTCCAAAGCAGAGGAAGTCTAATTTTTTAAGTAGTGTACTCCAAAGTTTCATACCTTAATTCCAAAGTTGTGCAGCTGTCGGGCTGCTGCTAATCCTGCTGCACCAGCCCCAACAATAATGACAGATTTCTAAAAAATAAAAAAATATTTATAAACTAAAAATAGAGCTAGAATAGAAATTATCATTGCACACTTATTTTTCTTCTTCCTAAAGTTAAAAATACCTGTAGGTTTCAGAAGTCTAGGCTCTCTTGTCCTCTAAAGTAATCAGTGATAACTGTTAAAGATGACAGTGCTTTTAATATAGAGAAAAGATAAATTGTAGCTTTGAAAATAGTTACAACTTTTAAGGACTTTAAAAGCAGATGTCTCAATTTCTTTTAACGGAAAAAGCTGAAGTTATCAGCCAAGCAGAATCATAGAATAGTTAGGGTTGGAAAGGACCTTAAGATCATCAAGTTCCAACCAAGTAACAAAATCTAACTGAAGTTATCAGACAAGAAACATGCTTACATTGTCAGGATGTCAATCACAGATTGGGTTGAGTAGTAAAGACTATTTCATAAATTAAAAACATACAAATACACTTTCCAAACATGAAGCAACTTACAATTTCTAGGGGATATTCCCAAATGCATTAATTAATTTGATAATTAATATGTGCTGTCAAGCGAATTGTAGTCATAAACATGTACCCTTTAATCATAGTTCTTGCAAACTAACATGGAATAGGAATTTCCTCACATATGGAAGCAGACGTGTATTGTAAGGTTAAGCCATGAGAAGAACATAAGTGTATCATGTCTTTTTCACTCAGTTCTCATCCACCCGAAAAGCTCAAAGGAAGTACAAATCCATGAATTCCATAGATTTTAGTGGAAACAAAAACCTTGTTGTGAAAAGTCCAATGGTTTCCAGAACTACTGAAGACAGATGAGAACCATGTGAAAAACATGCAATGTGTTTGCTTTCAGATGTAATTTTACATATTCCAGTTGTTTATGCAAATGAGAAAAAAATCCAGAACCAAAACTTATGACCTGTCCCATGTAGTTTTATAACACTAATAATGTAGGGATTACTACAGCAACTTACGTTGTGGTATTCTTTAGGAAGAAGATACTGGTCGGGACTGACTGATAAAATCCCTGTATTAATTAGCCCTTTCCTTGTCATAAAATAAAGTATCCTCTCCATTTCATGGACACAGCGAATACGCACAAGCCCCCGAACGATGATGTGATGGATACATTTTTGAGGGGTAAGAGCCTCCTGCAAAGGAGAAACAAAGTAAGTTGATTTTCTAATATTAATTTTTTTTCATGCATTCACATCATATTTAACCTGTAAACCAGGTGGTAAAATTAATCATGAATCAGCCTTCTGAGAGCATTTTAAAAGCAAGTTGTGTGGAAGTTTCATTCTAGCCAGCTGTACTCAGTAAAGTAACAATTTATTAAGCTAGATTCACTTGGCACAAAAACAGATGAGTCTACCAGACATTCTCACAACCTCCATGGTGTGCTCCATTACTATAGGAATTGAAATGCGTCCCTGATTGCAAAATTAATCTACCTAGTGGCAATGCTCACAATGACTTTCCAGTAAAATCTATTCCAAAATGGCATACCAGCTAGAAACAGATCTATCTCCAACACCTTCATATAAATACAGACATCAGTATCTGAAAGCTTCCGTATGTGAAGTTCCAGTAATTCCACTGAAGGCAGTGTCACAGAGTTAGCATAAGTAAAAAGACTATCCCTGACCAACAGTCATATGAAAAAAAGAAAATCATAATGTACCCACAAATACTGTTTAAAAGTTAGTAGCTGGGTCCACTCTGTAGAGTTTCAATACTTTCAAAACTTTTGTATTTTACTGCAAAAGAAGCTCCGAGGCATTAAAATTAAAAATTAGTAAAAAAAAAAACAAAGCCACCGAACATCCAAGAAGAGAGTCCACATCCCCAAAAAGTAGCTATTTTTTGTAAACAAATTAACTATTAGCATCTCTTACCTTACAGTTTGTATACCACAGAGCCAAAATCAGGTTTCTCAAAGCCAAGTACATGGTAGGGTCTCGTGAATATTCTGGGAACTCATAGAGCTCATCCAGTTCCATAACATCTGGCCTCACACAAAGTGCTTTCCCACATTCATTGGGCTGGTAAAAAGGCTGGAAATACTTGTTCAAGCCTGCAACTGAATAAAGACATAGCATGAACCAGTCATATTCTGATATATCTTCACCACGTCCTTTTCCCTCTTCAGATGATCCATTGACCTCAGACAGAAAAATAAGTAACAAAGATTTCCAGCCTCTAGCCACCTTTAGAATGATTTCATTTAAATTGCTGTTTCCTCTCCTACCCTCTAGGCTGTGCAGTATTAATTATTGTCCTGCTACCTGATGGGTATGTCTTGGACCTATCAGAGCTTAAGTTTTGTCAGAGAAACACTATGTGCCCTCAGATATCATGATGAGTCCAACAAGGAACAGGATCTATACTCGAGTCTAAGGTTCATCACTGTACAGGCTCATGCAGTACCCTAAACCCATTAGCTTCAACTCCCAGTACTGCCCAGAGTGGACAGTAACTAAAAGTAATCATTTTCCACATGCAGTATTGGTAGCAATGAAGTTTTCCATTTGTTAAGCAGGTAAATATCTGTGGAATAGATGAACAGATTTTTCTTCAGCACATAAGGAGAGCAGAGCCTGCTAAGCCAACACAGAAGCTGAGCTTCCCTCAAAGCACTCTCTCTGAGATGAGTATTGGAATCCTGAATTACCTTTCTCTGTACCTGACCTAGTCTGCAGGTCTGCACTCCCAGGCTGTCAGCCTCAGACCTGTCATTAGCAAAAAAATAAACAGAATCTGAGTGCCTTAAGGAATCAAAGCCCCAAGGATCCACAATACCAAAACTAGCAGAATTGTGTTTTGTTTTGATAAATCTTCATTTCCTTAAGAACACAATCTTTAAGTACCCATATGTTAATTTCCTATTTCTATAAACAAATGACAAGTGGTAAACAAAAAGGTATGCAGTTTCTGGTGACTCCCTCAAGAAAAGCCATACAAAATGTATTACCTTTACCTTACAAAAGGAGTAAATTTCATCAAAGAAATAGAGAGGCAGTTACACAGAGAGTGTGTATCGGTGCTGAGAACAGAACCAGTACTTCCAATCAGGAGCATTATGTGTCTTATAAGCTCAGTTATAAGACAAAATTTATCACAACTACTTAAGCAACAGAGCCCTGCAGATGGCCCTTACCAGTCAAATTAGGCACGCTCTTTAAGTGCTCTAACTTCACAAGGTTGGATTCACCAGGTAACCGATTGGTGCTGGTACAGGATGGACTCATGCCCACGCAGTCGGGATAATATGCAGCTAGAAAGGGAGCTGCCACACTGTCTTTCAGCAAGGGAGGGAGTATGAGCATGGAGTACCACCAATGGTCTGAAACTTCAGCCACTCTCTGGCCAAGCAAGAAGTGAAGGAAAGAGGGGAGAAGAGAACATGTCAGTACTTTGAAAATGCTGGGAAAATTAACCAATTCCCCCCTCCCTCCAAAACTGAGTCCAATAAGCACTAAAGTACCAGTCTCCAAATTGCAAGACATAAAGACATTTTCTCTCCCTCTTTCCCCTTCCTCAGCCTGACATAGAAAACCTGTAGCATTAATCACTTCCTCAGAAATGGAGGTGAAACTTCACAAACTCCACATCCACGTGGAAAGCAAACAGATGAGACATGCCATGACAACACATCTGTGCCTTATCAGGCCCTTTATAAAATATCCACAGGCTTTTATTCATCCAAAAATCTGAATTTAGGAAAGTCTATGCCAACTGATCAATTTAATTTAGGTTCTGCTATCCCCTTCAAAGACCTAAAATCCTAAAAAACGCTAATGATTCAGTCTTAGTTTACAAGTCAAACATACATTAAGGAAACAATCTACGAAGCTTCTACAAGAGACCACAAAAAGCTTAAACATGTTTCCTGGGATAGAGGTACCTCAGGTACACTTGTCAACATTGGCTTACTGAACATCAGATGATACTATATCTGAAATGCAGGGTTACATGATCATAAACCCATTGAAATACCAACATACATCAAGTCTAGTCTTGTGTTATGAGGGAGAAGAAAACATGTTTGGATGTTCTCTTGCAGTCTTTAGAAAGAGGAGACTAGCTTGACTAAAGATAGAAACCACCTGGAAGACAGGGAAATTTTAGGATGGGGAATTCTATTTGAAAGCTGGCAACTGAAGACTGTTTTGCCTCGATCATAAATGAGAATTAGGAGTAAACCTTGAATCACAGGCCACAGCTCAAAGACACCACAAATCACCTAAAAGCTAATTGTTATGGTAGGGCTGAAGAGGAAAAAGATGAGAAAGTAGAAGGCCCTAGGCTCTGCTGCAAATAGTGTCTGACAATTTCCTGAGCAAAATGCGTAAATGCTGCTACAATGGGCCAAAGGACCAAGAAAATGAAAGAAATATGCCATGCTTTAAGAATGCTTTTATATTCTAGAACAAATGAGGAGGAACAGTCACTACTCACCAAGTCCTCAGGCATGGAACACTGGTCTGAGCCCTCGCCCTGAAAGAAAACCAAACAGTATCACAGATATTCTTAAGCTGTACAACAAAAATTAAAAAACAAAGTAATTTGTCTAAACTTAAAGTGTTGGTATTAGCCTTCTGCAATAAAGATGATTATGTTAGTCAAAAATAGCGTAACATATACATAACTAAAAAACTCAATAGACCGTAAATTAAAAACAGGCCAGAAAATGTTTCTCATTTGTTAAGTTAGTTTCTATTGATCAGACATTAAAATATATGTTCTATTCCATGAAATGAAGGGGAACACTGAAACAAACAAATGAAGGAGGAAAAAAAAAAGGAACTTTATGGAAAAATTATTTCACTTTTTCCAAAGACTCTTCCAGTCTTGACCATAAAGGACAGTTTCTCATTTATTTTAAGAGTATCTTTATCAAGATTAAATGCTGACCCTTCAAAATTTCATATGGTCAGTCTTTTCATGTTACGTTTTTAACTATATAGAGTCTATGGCACTGTAAGGGCTTCTCCAAATTTCAGGACTTAATTTCATGTCATAGCTGAGAGTTTTCATGTAAAGCCCCATGACAGACTTGCTAGAAATTGATTACAGCTTATTGAGCATGTAGGCCTGCCACCATGCAGCTCTCCAGGCCATCAATCATTTTGATATTAGAAACATTAAGCAGCAAAAAAGAAATTAATGTCTGCAAACAAGAAATACCAACTTGTTGTTAGTTTCAGTATGAGCAAATTCTTCTGTTTTACCTTGGTGGAATTGTTCAGTTTCATACCACATCTGTAGGTTTTTGCTATTTCTGGTGTCAGCTGGATTTCCTTTGTCAGCTGACGCCATTTACCACAGTCTGACTTTGTGCACTGCACCTACAAGTCAGAAAACAAACATGTTTTTACTTGTTGCTGCCTGATTACAGATAAGATTAATGAAGCATAACTAACCAATTAGAAAGGAGATGTGAGACAGTTGTCAAATACAGTTGTTAAATTCGTTCTCATGTAATTCTCAGGTCATATACAGAAACCTTGTGCCCATCTCCAGTAAGATGGAATTTCTCCACAGAACCTAACTTCGAAATTAATTCCACACCCAGTTACTACAGCCTTCAGTGGGTTTTGCAAGCATTATTGCAAAAGCACATTGTTCACCGCTTCAAAAACAAAACCCCCAACAACAATATTGCTTGCATTCCAATCTCTTCTTCTGCTCTCTTTACCAGGGAATTAAAAAAAAACTGGTTTGGAAGTCTTTAACACTTGTACTTTCTTATAGCTCCCTTTTCTCTGCCAAGTCTTACTCTACCTGAATGTCACACATCTAAGCTGCCACTCACTGAAAAGTGACCAAAGGTTGTCCTTTGTGGGGTCTGGAGATCAGCGATGTTAGAGCTGATCAGAATTATTATCTTGAGCTTTTCCACAGTACTCTAATACTAGAAAACCCCTAAAAAAACTCAACTGACCTGCTGCTTGAACAGACAATATCAGAAACTCACATCAGAACTTCACATTGAAATATATCCTATTAAATAAATCACCCTCCATCTTACCCAGTATGGAAGCTGCTGATCAGCCATGAAGGCTTTTGGACTGGGCTCACTTTTACCATTACTTGTCCAAATCCTTTTCCAGGCAGTGTATTTCTCATAACCATCTTTATGGCTAAGAAAAAAGAGCAAGCAGTCAGAAAACTAATTATCTAGTTAATTTTAAGCAACAGCAGTTACTCTAAAATTAAAACTTTTTTTGTAAGGACAGAGAAATAAGGCTGTACAGAGTCCTATATTTTTCCTATTAAAAAAGGAGAGTCATGCTTCTTAGGACAGCAATAAATTGCATCCTGACCAGTATGTCTTTTTGACCATAAGCACACTTCCTGGTATCTAAGGCCTGGACTGAGTCACAGGTACTGCTGAGCACATTAACATGTGAAAGTCTTGGCAGAGCTGGACTGGACTTGACTCCCTCTCAAACAGGAAGGAGCTTGGAGCTGCATGCACTCTGTGAGCCTGGCCAGTCTTCATGGCCACTGAACTGCAAGAGTCAAATCTGCTCACTGATTTGATGTTACAGAGAGGCAAGGTCTCCTGAACTCACACTGTAAAGTAAATTTGCTTTATAAAGGAAAATAGATTTACCTGAAAGTGTTATTCTATTTCAAATTTTCTGACATTGTTTTTAAAAATGACAAAAGCTTCAGGAGAACTGTATACACACACCAGCCTGCCTAAAGTAACCATTTTATTCATGCTGCTGTGTTTAAGTTGATGATTAGTCCATAAAACACCTGCAGTTTTAGCACCAATATTTAAGTTTTACTTCGAATAAAGCAAGCACAGAGGAGAAGTCTTTGTATTATGTTTATGTATGTGATGTTTCAGCAGTTGAAAGGACTGACAAATTTTAGTAAGCACTGAAAAAGCACAACCTTAACTGGCAAATCTACCTTCGGTAATAGTGGTCAAAACATTCATTGCAGAAGTGTTCCCCACAGGAAAGATGATACCATCTAGATGTATACCCATTTTTAGCACATCTGTAACACAGGAGACATAGAAATAGATTTATGATACATTTAGGGGAAAAAAAGAATAAATCAAATCTTTCTTTTGACAGCAGCACATTCTAGAACATGAACAAAACATTCAGGACAAGCCAGGGCTTTATGTTACATTCATGAAGGCTGACTCGCACAAGGCGCTGAAGTCATATGAACAACAATAAGATCATTTCAATTGTCTCAAACATTTCCATTTTCCAAACTAAGCAACACCAGATGCAACAGAGGCAAAATGTACACAATGTGCAGTTTTATAGCTGGACTGCCTTCCAGCAACCTCCCGCTAACAATGGTCAGCTGAGCCTGCCTTAATACCCTTTAAGCAGACGTTTCCTGAACATGAAATACATTTGCTCTTATGGTATGTGCTGTGACACACTAAGCATTTTACAAATTTATAAGACAACAAGTCCCTCTCCACAGGAACTTACAGTTCCTTTGTTCCATTTTGTTCTGGGGTGGGAGGTATCATTTAAAATAGTATTTTCCTTGTACGTGTGATCAATTCATTCATAAATCATTATAACATCCCATCCCCAGAACAAATGACAAAAGTATAACAGCAAATCTGAACACAAAACAGATGTTGCTTATTTTTTTCACATGACTGAGTTGGCTGCGATTTTAACCCAATGAGAAAACCCTCAGGAAGCAGTTGCACATTCTGGGCATTTATTACTCTCAGATAGAAATATCAGTTAACAAAATTATCCATTAAATTATCCATTTATTTTATTATCCTTAAAATATCCATTAAATTATTCATTTTAGTGTGAGGTGTCCCTGCCTATGGCAGGGGGGTTGGAACTAGATGATCTTAAGGTCCTTTCCAACCCTAACTACTTTATAATTCTATAACAAAGATTATATTTGTCAGACAAAGACATCAGTCTTCACTTAGAAAATTATTATTAAACTCTATGAAATGTTTCAAGATAAATGCATGAGGTAAAAAGCACGAGGTAAAAAGCAGTGACCTAAGCTACTAACTGAAATAGCCACAAAATTATCTCATCTCTAATAAATAATGTTGAAAGTACGTACTTGGGGGAGCAGGAGGGGTGGAAATCAAAATATTAAGATAACAATTCAAAAAGATGACTAAGCACTATCGTTTCCTTAATAAAAACAAAATCACCAATGCTGATATCTCAGGTGCTCTTTTCTCCTACAACTCTCTTATAAAACTGGCAAAACACTTGATTTTCCTATGCCAACATCCAGAATACTTCGACCTCCTGCCACCAAAGAACAATCCACACAGAAATGAAGCACTGAATTTTATCATTGGGAAACAAACAAAACAGGGAAAGTTTGTCTCAGTTAAGGAGGAAGGGAGGAACGCTATATAATTACCGTCCATCTACTGCAAAATGAGTTCTAACATGTTGCTTATTATAGATACATGTTGCCAGCATCTCAGTCCTGCCATGGTCAGAATGCAAACGGACTTGTACACAGAAGCCATGAACAACTCAAAAACAAATTGTTCGAGTAAGTGTGACTGTCTCCAAAGACCTAAAATTTCCAGGTCAGAATCTCACCTCAGACTGCAAAGCATGCCAACAAGAGCGATAAAGACATTCTGCAGTAAATGACTGTTTCATTTTCCATCTTGAAAGCAAGGTCAACTTTCTCAGATTACACTAACATGCTATCAGTTTCACAGAAACAAGGCATGCTCCAGAAGACACCACTAATAACATAAATAAATGTATTCTAAAGATATTCTATATCTGAATTGGCAACTTGCATAGCAGAAAGTTATCCTTAACACAAATAACTTGTGACACTCTCCTGGAATCTTAAGACTCCTATGAGAACCTTTTGATTCTCCCTCTACATTTAGAAATAAAGGGATTTTTCAGAATATAGTTGGGATCCTGTATTTCAGCTGCAAGTTTAGAAAAGTCTATGGAATATGCAGGTAAAAAGAAACAAACCTTTCAGCTGCACTTGCAAAGCAAACAGGACATGTTGCGGTGCATCCAGCTTTTTCACACTTTCTGTATTTCTTCTCTGATGCATCATCATCATCATCTGCTGCTTCAGCTGCTTTCTTCTTCACCTAATAAAGAGCAGTTGAAATCTGACCAGAATTGACACAAATGCATCTTCTAGAAGATGGCATTTGGAGAGTTTTGCAGCTCGTGGGTAGCATCAAATGGCTAAAGCGGTATTAATGAAAATGTTTGTATCCATTGTGAAATAGCTGCCGCATGAAACAGCTGTCAAACTAGGTCAGTTTTTCTACCCCCAAAAAAAAAAAACAACTCGTAAGACTGGAAATATCATTTAAAGCTAAAAATGTCCTCCCTTAGTCTATGTGATCCAGTGGAGAAATTATAAGCAAAGCTTCCAGTTTAAATCATATTTTAAGCTCCATCACATGCTAATGAGTCAAGCCTCATCATCCATTCGGTTTCTCCTTCAGAAAATCTCTTCTTCACATACTTACTGATATTAATTAGTGGCAATCTTATCTGCGCCTCAAATAAAATACTAGCGTAGGCTTGCAGCATTTTTTGGATTCCAGATATAAAGCTATATACCAAATGTCTCTTCTGGGCCTCAAAGGTACTGTGTATTGTGTTGATTTAGGCCTCATCTGGATGAGCAGACAGTTTTGTCTGGCTATACAGCAATCTGTGGTTGTATTTTTAACACATTAACCAGTATTTACAGGTTACACTGAGCACTTTTCTTTTCTGAATAGTGTTCACAAATGGTACCCTTCGCCTACTTATTCACAGAATTAGTAATGCTCCCTTTCTCTGGTTAACTAAGTCCCAGCTTACCCACAGTGAAGCCCACTTGCTTTATAAATGCCAAAAGAAAATAAAAACTACCAGAGCATGAACAATACCTGTCTTCCAGAACTCCTCACAGGAAGGCTGTCTGGAGACTGGTCGGCAGAACATGCCTTTTTTTTGGCTCTTACCCTTCCAGTTGACATTGTATTATTAGATCTGCAAAAAAAAAGGTAGGCAGTTGTTTAAAATAAATAAATACATACATAAATACATAAATAAATATAATTACTTGACTTTGCAGAGCTGTCTAATCACCTGGGCACCGTGGCCATTCATAATACTACTTTAGTCATAATACTACTTTCTTACCTAGGTAATAACCTGTTTAGCTTGCCTGTTAATTCAGGAAGAAAATGAGAATGAAGCTTTATGGAAAGGAACAATACTAGTATTTTAAACTAAATTTGGAGTTAAGATTAGATCCTTGAGTACATCCTGACAGGCTGTTCCAGATCAGCATATCCTGGATTTCAATAATCCGATTGGCATTACGTGCAGACCTGGACTGGAATTTGGGTTGGCACAGTGAATAGACGTCAGCTCATAATGCACACATTGAAATACCACTCTGAGTAATGCTCGTCCTGCTAACTACTGATTTATTGGTAGCAAGAGATTTCCACTGCAAAGCACTTTTCCAATCAGAGTACCAAAGAGATCTTTAATACGAAGTGAACAAACAGTTCCAAGACTTGCACACCCTCCTAGGAAAGTACATGAGAATTTAACGGCTAAACTTCAGTTGCATTGCAGTTATAGGAGATGAGAATATTAAAAATAAATTAAAATCAATAAAATAAAAGGTTTAAGCCACAAAAGAGCTCTATAGCGGTCTGCTGTTTTCCACAACATCGTCGGGAACATGAAAAAGATCACAGTTTATCATGTAAGCTGCAAAGCACGGAGTATGAGAAAGTATGGCCCAGAAATATGAAAGCATATTTAAAATGGTATTATCAAAGGCATTCTTTTCACAGGGAGTAAAACACAAAGAAAGAGAGCCTAGGAGAATTAAATGTAAATATGCTCCAGCACATACAGAAAGGAAGTGGAAATAAAACCCTTATACTACAGTGCTGCATCATGAATGTTAACTTGCGGTAATAGAGATCAGTTTGTAATTTTTTATTAAAAAAAAAAAACCAACAAAATTACATTTGAGACTTCTCAATTCTCTGTTTCAGGCTGCAACCTCCTTGTTCAAGCTGACAGTGACGGACATGGCAGCAATAGCGTCATTCAGGAATTCTGCTAAAAGTAAAGGGAAGGGAAGGGAAGAATGGGCATTTTTACAAAGTTTCAAATCAAGCTGATACAAATCAAGTGAATTGGTGCTTCATTCTCCTCTCAAGCAGTAAGAAATTGATTTGGGAGGGAAAGGGAAATGACATGATGATATCCATGTAAGTGAAAAATTAGCTGGGACACCCCAATACAGAAAATAACTTTCTTTTTTGTAGCCCTCCTCCCCCTGCTCCCCTCCCCAGTTATAACCAATTAGAGGGAGGGAAAAAAAAACATTAAGGCAATGTTTAATGCCTAAAAACCCTCCAAAACGTCACTGCACCATTACTGACCACTGTATGGGTGTGGATGAGGTTGGAGAGTAGAGAAAGGAAAACCAACCAGTTTCATTTACATAAGATTTGCCTACGTTGCTGCGTAACACCCAAGGAAATGGTGGCTGTTTCCCACCCCCACCCTGGGAGCTTTCCTTCTGGATCAGTGGCACAAGTCAGTATTTCTCTGTATTATGTTGGCTTCTGACACAGGTCATTGTTCTTGCATGCTGTTGCCTTTACAGTTAGGAGGCTACAAACTACCCAAATGCTGAGCAAGGCACCAGGCAAGTCATTTTGGTGACTACCAGGTGATCACAGTATGGTGCCACTGTGAGGCCCTTTATCTGAGAAGGTAAAAGGACCTGGCAGCAGTTTCACTGTGTATACAGGGGTAGAAAAAGAAAAGGTGGCATTTATCATCCACTGAGAAGTTTGGTAAACATATTTAATATTGAGAGAGGCCTCCCATTTTGAAAGGCAGAACAGAATCACAAACATATTTTTGCTGTAAGCCCTATGGGAGTTGGGGTGAAAGAGAGAAAAAGAGAGCAGCTCATGCATGTAAGTGTAAGAAAGGCCATTACTTCCAGTTGTATCCTCATTTTCTCCCCACTTCCCCTCCCAAAACAACACCCCTAAAAAACCACAATTTTTTAAAGAACAAGCAAGCATTGCTTACATGACTCTGCATCCTATAAACATGAAATTACCGGCTGAGAAAATAGGCCCTTTAAAGGGGGACAGAGAAATGCATAATATGCTGTCGTGTTCTGTAACATTTCATCTGCCTGTAATGCGTAGTACGGGAAAGCTCTGCGAGGTTTACCTGTGCAGTGACAGCAAGTTTGTCTTGGGGGGGGGGGGGGGGAAGGGGGGGGCAGAGGGGGCGTAAAAAGAAACCCCACACTGACACAGGGAGGAAACGAGAGCAACCTGACACAGAAGGGGAGGTGGGACCACGAACGCGCACACCTCTGAGACTCGCCCCCGAGGGGCCGGCGCTGCCTGGGGCTGACAGCCGGCAGCCCCCTTCCCCTCCCCTCCCCTCCCCTCGCCTCCCGCGGCCGCCCCCGGTCCAGCGCTGTGACAGCCGCGAGCGGGGTCCCCAGTGGGAGTCCCCGGTGAGGGCTGTCCCCGGCGGGGATGTCACCAGAGGCAGTTGGGGGCTCCCCGCCGAAGGCGCACAGCCGGCGGCAGAGGAAAGCGCTCGCGGCGGCGCGGCTGACGCCGCCTGGCACTCACCTCGGGGCCGGGTCATTCAGGGACCGGAGACCACATTCAAACGTGTCCGCGCCGCCTCCTGCTAGCGCTGCAGCGGGGGAGAAACGGGAGAAGAAGGGGGAAAGGAAAGGAGGGAGAGAGGAAGGGAGACAGAGAAGGGGAAGGAAGGTAAAAGAGGGGAGGTGAGGACGGGGGCAGCGCTCACACCTGCCCCGCTGCCCGAGGAGCAGGAGCGGGGCAGGCGGGCCCCCGTCAGGCAGCACTGCTAAGGATAAGGAGTCACTCACCGCCGCTGCCATCCCCGCCGCCATCCTCCTCCTTCTCCCGGTGCCGAGCACCCTCAGCCCGCCTCCTCCTGCCGCCGCTTCCGCTCTCCGCGGTGCGTAGCGAGGGGGAGGGCGAGCGGGGAAGCACCGCCCCAGCCCTGCAGCCCCCACCGGACCGTGGACCCGCGGCCGCGCAGGTACCGACCGCCGCCCGGGTTGGGGGGTGGCGGTGAGAGGGGCCGTGCTGAGCCCCGCAGGGTCCTTCCAGGGCCCCATCGTCCCGCGCCGGTTCTCGGCCCCGCGGTCTGCTCGCGGGTTTCACACGAGACAGAGAAGTGTTGGTACCTGCGCACTTACTCACGGATCCCGGGCTTGGGCCAGTCCCACGCACCCACCTTAACCCCCTCACCCGATAACCTTGTCCCCCGGGGCAATAGGGCCCGGCAGCCTCTGGGCGGCCTTCAGATGTGCGCAGACCGGGAGGTCACCGGCGCTTCCGTAACGCTTAACTGCAGGCTTCACTCCGGGGAAAAGTCTTGCTGAAGCCACGGGCTGCAGGAGTACGCGGCATCACTTTCAGTACAGCTGCATTTAAACAGTCGCCAACTTATAATCTCTAAAACTGGCCTGGTTTTTGATTCAAGGAAGTAAGAGCCAGTTCCAGACCATCCATTGGGTGGGGGTGATTTTTCTCTCCTTTTTTCACAGCTCCTAGCGCTCAGTGGGGACCATGGACCGCTCAACAAACGCAGCCGAGATCCAGGAGCACTCTGATACTGGGGCACAGAAGAACAGAGTGGTGACTGAGGAGGAATGGCTGCAGAAATGGGAAACGCATAACATTGGGTTTCACAAGGAACAAGGGCATCCGTACGTGACTTCATTTTCTTGTCTAAACTGTTCAGAGAAAGTCCGTGGGATGAATGGCTTGAGTCATTCAAGACACTTTTAATAGAAAACGGAGCACTTACAAAAGGAAAATTATTTTACACCAGCACAGCTTGAAACTAAAATAAATGTACATATTCTCATTCTCTACCTTTGTCAGCAAAGGGCAGAGAAAAGAAGGGATTGAAATTGATTGGGAATTTTTACTCTTGGATCAGGCTCGGCTAAAAATCATATTTTGGCTAAAAATCTTCAATTTTCTGATGCAGCAGCTTTGCGCTCCTGTTCATAAGTTATGACACTGGGGCCTAAAACAGTATACAGGGGGCATTGGAGGATTATTGTGCACTGAAAGACAGGGACCTAAGAGAGGAAACCTGATTGTATAGTCTCAAGTTTCAACCAATAATAAGTTTCAATGTAAGTTTCAACCAGTGAAACTTACGAAAACCAATGAAGCTGTCTGTTGTGGCCCACTTAGAGGTAGGTGGGTTGGTTTCCTTGAGAAGACCAACAGAAAACAACAAACAGAAATGTATTTGTTTCTAACAGAAATCAAATTTACTTTCTTTCTAAGTAAATGGAAGTTAAATGGTTTTATTTTATGTATTTATTTCTAATGGTATGAAGCAAGTTGAACTAAGAATCTGTGTTCCCTCATGGAGTTTGTGTACTCCCTTGCATGGTGTGTAGCCCTTGGCTTTTAATGTGCCAGCACAAATACAGTGTTAAGTAAAATGTGTCTGTTCTTCTGCAGGCTCCTCCAGAAGTATCTGGATGTTCTTTTAAGTGGCAGGAGCGGACTGAGGATATTTTTCCCACTTTGTGGTAAAGCAGTAGACATGAAATGGTAAAGCACAGATTGTAAGAGCAAAAATCTTATTTGATGTGGGGATGGAGGGAGAGAGGGAATTCCCAACCTTATACTGGCCAGTGGAAATGTGCTGCATCTCTGCTGGTAGGAAAGCAGTGTCACTGCAGGCTGAAGGGAGGAGGAAGGTTGGTTTAATTTGCTAGTGTTTTGTATAGTAGCATGAATGCAGTTGATAAGGACTAACATGAAAGTCCTCCTGATTGTCCCAATTTCAGCCAGGGCAGCGCTGAATGTGTGATGGACAGCTATGCCCTTGCCACTGTTGCTTTTGGTGACAGTGCCAGCTTAAACCGCTTACAATGAGGTCAATTGTGCTAGACCATGTTTTCAGTGGACCATGTGGTCTGCCACACTGGGAACTTAAAATGATTTGGGCTAAATGTAACTTCCTCTTTTTTACATTTATTACTTTCCTTTTTTGGAAAGGTTATATTTATAATTAGGGGCTGCGTAAGTCAGTGGGGTTTTTGGAAGGGGGGGACACAAACCCAAAAATAGGAGACTGAACCGCATCCTCAAGGAATCAAATCAAGTTAGTCCCAATTGGGTTTTATCGTGGTAACTGCCTATGAGGCTGACTGCAGGATCTGATGCATGTTGCTGCCACACCCTGCTGTCTCTTACTGCCAAGCTGCAGAGGCAGCAGGGTGGACAGCATGCCTCAGCCACTGCAAGTCACAGCAGAACATGTTTCTGTGAACTGAAATGGACTGTATGGAATTGAATTTTGAATTGAATCCAAATAAAGCCTGTAAGTCCTTGTCAACTGTATGCCAAGAAGCGATAATTTGAGCTCAGATCATGGAGGGCAGGTATTCAGTAAAATATGAAAAATAGGAAAGTCAGGATAAGACATACCAGTGCTTCCTAAAATGAGGGTTTGTCTACAAGAAATCTGGAGAGGGACTTTTTACAAGAGCATGTAGCAATAGGACAAGGTGGAATGGTTTAAAACTAAAAGAGGGTAGATTTAGATTACATATTAGGAAGAAGCTCTTTACTGTGAGGGTGGTGAGATACTGGCACAGGTTGCCCAGAGGAGTTGTGGCTGCCCATCCCGGGAAATGTTCAAAGCCAGGTTGGATGGGCCTTTGGACAACCTGGTCTAGTGGAAGGTATTGTGTCTGTGGCAGGGAGTTGGAACTGGATGATCTTTAAGGTCCCTTCCAACCCAAACCATTCTGTGATTCTACAACTCTATGATTCTAACAAATAAATGCTACATGGGCAATACACATTTGGTGATGGTCCAACATGTGGGCCTTACATAGCCTCAGGACCTCTCTCTGCTGTGTGCAGGCTGGCAGACATGGGACACCGCATTGTTGGTGTGGAAGTCAGCGAGCAAGCACTGAAGGAGTTTTTTGAAGAACACAGTCTGCCTTATAGCGAGGAGCCAGTCCCAGAGATTCCAGGAGCAAAGAAGTTGCAGGTATGTTTCATGCATTGTCAAATGATCTGGTGTGGTTAATCATGCAATACAATAACTGAGCAAACAAGTCATTCTACTTTTATGCCTCTGTCTCCCTGATAATCATTCACTTGCCCTGAAGAGGTCTGAAAGGAAGCCAAGTCGTAATTCTGGACTGAGAAGTCCTTCTTTTAAGTCTATTACTTCAGCCTTCTTTTCTTATAACATTGAAGCACCTGAATGTAAAGGAAATGTATTTTAAAATTGAACAGTTGCATGCCTTGATAGATCAAAACCTCTCTGGATGGCATCTTCAGGAGTGGTGCTTCAGTAAATTAAAACTAAAAGTGTTTCTCACAGTTTTACCCCATTACACCTAAGTGTATAGTTTAAAATAGTATATGTGCATATTTTAAGGTATAAACATACCCTTTCAAGTGCATATTTAAAGACAGTTTGCTAATAAGTATTGTTTCCTTTGCTTTATATTGTAGAGTATCTCTGGGAACATTTCTCTGTACTGCTGCAGTATTTATGATTTGTCCAGGTAGGAACACACAGTTTATTTTACAATTCTCTGCAATCAAACATGTATTAATACTGTCATAATACTGTCATATTATTTTCTTTGAATCAGCCGTAAAAATTTGGAACAGGTCCTCTCATTAACTTGTATGAAAAACATGAATAGCCAGTCTGCAATAAAAACTAACTGTTGTTGATCATTAGATAAAGATGCCAGCTAAGTCTCTTTAAATGGGCTGCTTGTTCTGTGCTGTCCTGTGGAAGTTATGGAAAAACATGTTTGCTTTTACAGTAAATACGAATAATCTTTAACATTATTGGAGGATTCTATGAAGGAAAACCCTATCATGATCCCTTATGCAAAATAGCTTAGTAGAAAATATATGCAGAAGTATCTTCTTACTCAGCTTTTCCTTTAACTGAACACATTTTTTCCCCAAAACTGTTGATTAGCATATGCATAGGTAAGCTGTACCCATTGGTTATATGCATCCCATGCTCTACTTAACATACGTTTCTTGTTGGACCTAAAGTACATTACATCACTCCAGTGTATGTAACTACATAATATATTGTCAAACAGTAACTCTGCAAGTGTCTTGGCGAACATGGCTTGACTTAGTAATGTCTTCTGAAGGACTTTTAGGGCTAAAATGTCCTTATTTCTTACTGAAAAGACGCAACAGGGAATGCAAAATACTTCAGCACAGTCTGCACTACTGACTCCTGAAAAATGTTTCAATCCATTGTGCTCTGTGGCCTCAAGCATCGCTTCTCAGACTTTGTGGTGGCTTTGCACCTGACCTTCTTGTGCTCAGATGTCAGCTGATGGGGGAATTTTGAACATTAACAATTTGTTCAGAGACTACAGGAGGTCTTAAGACTGTCTCCAGCCTCTAGCATAGAATACTCTGCACAAACAGTAATGCATCTCGCATGTTTATTTGTCCTCAGTAGTTTCCTAGTGGTATTGGCAGTGGGTGCATTTAAATTTGTCCTAAAATTCCTACATGGATGCTGGCGTAGCTTGGAGACCAGGCAGGAAAGCAGTGCTGTTTCCGTTTTCATAGTGTATCTTGTAGGAAGCTGAAGGTACCCGAAGTCCTGCATTATAGTTCCCTCTTCATGCAGTTCCTCAGACATGATTTATAATCTGTAGATTATAAGGTTTTGGTGAAGTTTTGTGTGTTTGTTTGCTTTTCTTACAAACAACTGTCAGGAACAAAGATTTGTTCCATAGCTGTTCAGTAGGAAAAGGAGGTCAAGTCTTAATTGTTGTCTGGATGTGCTTTTCAAAACTAGCACAAATACAGGCATAATAGTAATGGTTTAGGACACCAGAACATCCTGTTTACTAATACTCCGTTTGGTTTTAGTTTTTTCCTTCATCTTCATAAACTGGAAG